AAACACAGCTTATGCTTGTAAGGAATGTTTTGATGATAGTTTGCTGTGGTTCTTTGCTGGTTTACCCTGCAGGAACCTACATAAACGGCACATTAGCATCAAAACATTAATCTCCAGCATATGCTGCTTTTATCAGCAGGATTAGGTTAGCATGCACTGCCGCCTAGTGTAAACAACAAACACTACATCAAAACAATGAATGGCTCCCTCTCACAAGTACTTATTCCCTTAAAGGCTTACACATATCTTAATTTATTTTCCAGCTCGCCTGCCTGTTCCTGTCCTCATCTTCAACTCTTCTCAGTGTTCTTCATCAGTGCAGTATTGTTCAGTGTTGTGTTCAGTGGTGAATGTGAGCGCTGTGAGTCTCTCCTGGTACAAAGGAAACAGTGTATTGTCCAGCATCAGTGTGTCTGATCTCAGCATCAGTCTCTCTCTACCTCTGGAGGTGGAATATCAGGATAAAAACACCTACAGCTGTGTGATCAACAACACCATCAGCAACCAGACCACACATCTGGACATTACTAAACAACATCAGGGATGGGAAGGAACAACAGCTGGTAGGTTCATCTTTTGAGATAATTTGAGCAGAAACTAGTCAACTTTTTAAAACAATTTCCTTTTTTTTTTCCATCAGAAGCAAACCTCGTTCACAGTTGCGATCCTACTGAAGCTGTGCTGCGATTGGTTGTCTCTGCTCTGGTGGGCGTGGCTATTGTTGCTGTTCTGGTTTATGACGTCAGTTTTGCAAGAGGTTTAAAAGAGGAAAGAGAACAGCAATACAATATTGTAAGCTATGCTGGAGTGTAAACCACGCTGTGTGAGGAAAGAAACAGGTATTGTTTATGAAAGGGAAAACGATCTGTTTACCTGCATATTGGGTCCATCTAGTGGCCAAACGACACTTGAATATTTAAAAAAAAAATCCTAAATGTAAATGTCAGTTTAGAGTTTTTTTTTTAAACAGTTTTTTGTTTTGTTTTGTTTACATTTATTTCTTATGTTGCTTTAACAAATGCTTTGGTGACAACTACAAAAACATGCAATACCAATAAAACCCCTTCAAATATAAATATTAATAAAGCCGAACATTGTCAAAGTAACAAAAAAGTTTGAATTTATATTTCAAAACTCTCCACCTAAATGAATACATGTGCAATTATTATCAAACTACATAAATTATTATTTATATGACAAGCGTTAATTGTAGTCTTAACAGTAAGAGTCTTAATAGTAAGTATTACTTATTAGTAATAGTCTTAATTGTAAGAGGGACTGCGTACCACAATGGTTTACCATTACAATTTCATTATAGACATGCCATTTAAATTTCTGAATAAAAACACATTTGCAGATTTGAAACATTGTTTATTTTAAGATATGCAAAAAGTGTTAACAACATGCTAAAAACACAATTTTATGTAGGTAGATAAAGACAGTAAAACATTGATAGTGCAGTTTGCATGCAGGTATTTTCCCATTTATTATGTCCATAGAGATTTAACAAAAACATTTTTAAGCTGTGAATCAATAAACCTCTAATTTTTGTCCTGATTTTCAGGATTATGGGTAATAATTTGTATTTCATGCTTTACAGTTTTTCTCAGTGGCTTTGGTGCATTTCACACAACACTATTTACATTTGCACAACAGTTAATGCATTTCTCAAAACAGTTAGTAATTTGTGCACATCATCGTAGCAGTTTCTCATTCCTTCCAACACATTGCAGATACTTTTGGACATGCATCAATTGCTTTCATACAACTCTCTGCTGTTTATAACATTATCATTTGCTTATGTCATGTCAGTCAAAACTAACTAAACTTGTGAATGCTGAATAGTCATTAAATATAAAACTAAAAGTCCTTATTTAATTACTAGTGTTATTACATACAAAAATGTTGAACTAGCTGTCAAAATCTGTCAAGAAAATTTTATATAAAAAAAATCTTTATTTTCCCAAATATGTCTTCAAAATTGAACAATTTGATGAATGATTTACAAACCTGTGTATGTTGTAGGTTCAGTTCCGATATGTTCTGCAATATTGTTTACAGTTGTGCACAGCTCTACCCAAAGGAAGTTTATGTTTGTTGTAAATAAGGGTGTTTATTCCTTTGCACAATGCTTTGAATAAATTAGGATTGTAAAGAGCATATGCAGTAAAAATGTGAAACATACATATTCAGTGTCTTGTACTCGGACACTCACTAAATGCAGTGTTGTCTAACTTAGTTTTCAAATGGCTGTGCATTTTCAGGAAGTAACAAATCTGACTTTTTTGCACTGAAAAAATGTAGAGTAAAGTGTCATAATGAAAACACGACAAAGCCATTTGACTATCTTGTTTATAAACAATGGTGTCAGGACTTTTCATTTTGATGACACTGACACTTTGATTGACATTAATACTTGCTTTTGAAGAATGAGCTCTCCATTTTGAGCATGTGACGCGCTTTTGCAGGTTATCAGCTACAGTAGGTTTTGCAGTTTGCACTAATTGTTTTGAGAAATGCAATAACTGTTGTGCAAGTGTTGTGAGAAATGCACCAAAGCGACTGAGAAAAACTGTAATTTGGTTATCGGTGAATCCTTGAGATCATGAACACAAAATAAAAATTAAAAATAACCCAATTTTTATATATATCTCAAACGTAAAACCCCCTCACACGTAAAACACACACGCACGCACGAACGCACGCACGCACGCACGCATGCACGCATACATAGTATCTTTAAATGATAGATAGATAGATAGATAGATAGATAGATAGATAGATAGATAGATAGATAGATAGATAGATAGATAGATAGATAGATAGATAGATAGATAGATAGATAGAAAGACTGACAGACAGACAGACAGATAGATAAAATTTTTTGTAATTTTGTACTTTTTATATATTTTTATTTGTTCTTTGTTCTTTTTTTAATTTTATAAAACTATATGTGGTATATATATACCATTTTTTTTGTACTTTTCACAACTTTCATGATTTAAAAAACTATATATATGAAGGCTGCTCATTCTGTTCTGACAACCTCTGAATTAGAGACTAAGACTCGTCCCATGGTAAGAACCGTCATTCAGCTGCTGTGTTTATGACTATTGGTATATTATTTGTTTACTAATTGTTTAGTATTCTGCAGAGCCAATGCTATGAAACTTTGTTCTATGTACACCAGTGATGACAATAAAGTCTGTTAATGTCAAAATCTTTCCCCTGGAGTTATTTCATGAAGTTTAGTAGCCTACTGGCTTTGCATGATGTTAGTTAGCAATTGTTCTTGAAAACGAATGACCCCCCTTCTGATATTTCAGAACTACTGTGCAAAAGAAGTAAAAGCTAACATATGAAAAACATTTTATCTGCAATCTGATATTTTAATTGTGGACTCACATTCGTTTAAAGACAAAAGGTTTTATAACCTGCCATTAGGGGCAAACAAAACAGTTTGGCAACAGTTTTCAGAAAACAGGAGCAACACTTTGTATATAGAACAGTTAAAATGTGAATTCTCTATGGAGGTAATTAATGGGATTTATAGGAACTTCCAGAATATCTGCATTTAGTCATTTTCAAGGTATCGACAGTACAAACATAATAATAGAAGAGAAATTCTAGAAAATAAGCAGTTGGACAGACTATTAAAAAGTTACTACACACTTAGTAAAATTACACTAAGTAAAATTGCCCATCATGGCGATATTACATGACGATTTTTATTAAAAACAATTTAATAAAAAAATTGAAACAAGTGTGCACACTCTATAATTGCTAGATTTTAAGGAATTAGCCAATACAACTCAAAAATGTAAAGTCAAAAAAGTTTATGAAAGCCTTGACAGCCTTTTTTTTGGTTGAGATTTTATCAGATTTATGTGTGTTGAGCATCAATTAAGACAACTTTAGCACGTGCGTTAAATGGGCTATGCACACAATTACAAAAACTCCACGTTTAAGATCTATTTTCTTAAAAGAATAATGATCTTCACTGCCTGATTGATATACAATATAAAGTGGGTATTAGACCGGACAAGAAGCAGGGCATTAAATTACACTGTTGCACACCATGTCTTTAAAATATGGCAATTTATTTTACCCCAGTATTTTCAATAGAGTATCTGCACTAGCCTGTTGCTACTGTCTTTCATCTGGTTTTACGCTTCATCAACTAAATGAACGCTCAAGTCTATTTAACTGATTGTATAAAAAATATAAATGGTAAATGGTGCTGTAAATGTTAATACAGGATTTTTGCTCTAATTGATTTACAGTGAATTACTGGCGAACTGCTGCCAGTAAGTTACTGTAAATTCTACTGAAAACAGTGTAATTAAAATACAATCAGTTAAATAGACTTGAGCGTTCATTTAGTAAAATATACAGTAATTTTCACAATGAAACTTGAAAATACAGTAACATACTGCAAAACTGCCAGTACAGTTGTATAACAGTTAAATACTATGTATATTACACAAATCAGTCAGGCAAGTAAGTAATTAAGTAATGTGCATTTATATAGCCCATTTGGGGTTGGGGAGTTAGAATCACTCCACACCACCACCGGTGTTCAACATCTACGATGATCCAACAACACTCACAGGACAACAATATATAATATAATATAATATAATATAATATAATATAATATAATATAATATAATATAATATAATATAATATAATATAATATAAAAGAAACAGGGCGTTGTATAATTTTTGGTCCCACTTTATATTAAGTGTCATTAACTGCTATGTACTTACATCAAAAAAATAAATACAATGTACTTACTGTGTTTATAATGTATTTGAGAACACTTATGGTGCTTTTGAGTTGGAATAGAGGTGTGGTTATGGACAGGTTTGGTGGCATGGGTAGGTTTAAGGGTAGGTTAAGGTGTAAGGGATGGTCAACAGTGTATTTACAAATGTAATTACAAAAGTTAATTACAGATGTAACTACATACATGTATTTAATCAAGCATAAGTACACAATAAACACATGTATTTACACAATAAGTACATTGTAACAAACTATTAATTCCTATGTAAGTACATATTAGTTAAGGCCACTTAATATAAAGTGGGACCTAATTTTTAAAAGACAGACTGTTTATTTCATCGCATTTTAATTTTGCAAACTATAAAATCGTGCATCAAGTTCAGTAGGGCCAGACGAAATCTACATCTACAACATGATATAATTATATATTAGATATTACACATTCAAATAACCTGAAAACACCATCATATTTACAAGCTTTTTGCTCTATATACTGTTTTGCTTCTGGTTTGCACTCCTTGCCATGTGCCCTTAAGTGTAATTGTATTGCTACTTGTAATTATTGTTGTATTGAACTTATAATTTTTGATTATATTATATATGTAATTGCATTTATTATCATTTCTTTTTAAAATTATTATATGTTAGGCACCTATGATCTGAGAGTAACACAATTTTGATTGTCTGTATGTCCTGTAAATGTGGTTGAATTGACAATAAAGCTGACTCTGACTTTGAATATGTTCAACACAAGGATCAGTTTAAGGGTGTGCACACTTGTCTAACCTGGAATTTTACCTCACGGAATTGTTTTAATTACTAAATGCCTGCAATTCAAACAAAGGTGTGTGTACTTTTACGTTTGCAGTAACAGCTGATTTAAATTTTCTAAAGCAGCTTTATCTTTTAAACTGATTTGTTTTCTGGGGATTATTTGGATTTACCACAGCATACTGTTGCGATTCTCCCGAATAACCCTGAAACACAAGTCAGACAATTAACACCATTTCTGCTTTTGCTTTCACTATAGTATTGACAGATTTTAAGTCATACCTCCTGTGTCGAAAGTAAATCACACCAAGCAATGCCGACACCAGCAGGAAAGCAACACATATTCCTGCCACAAGCACCGAAGATGAACCTGTTTTTCCACAAAAGACAATTATTGCTGTGAGTAAATCTGTCAGAGCAATCTGTCAAAACACTATGAGAAATCAGCAGGTTTACATACTTTCATGTCATAACATGGTACTAAAGAAGTGGACTTTTTATGACATTTTACATAAACCGAAAGTGAAAGTAAAATGACATTAAAAAAACAGCCGCTTTAGTACCATGTTTTAAAGGTAAAATAAAAGGATTATAATAATATCAATATCAAGATGGTTCTTTACTTTCCACTACAAGGTTGTATTCACTCACCAATGACATTAACATTGAAGCTCTTCATGCTGCTGATGCTGCGGCGTTGACGATTGCTGTGGCTGCTGATCTCTACTTCATAAAGCCCAGAGTCTGTGGTTTTGGCCTTTGTGATGGTCAGAGATCCAGTCTGATGATCCACCTCCAGCCTGTCTCCGAATTTCTCTTTACACTCATCTTCAGTACAGATCTTATTAGCTGGTAGAGTAATTTTAGTGATGAAAGTGTTATTAAAAAACCATGTCGCCATATCATTTGGATTTATCCTTGCACTTGGATCTAAAGTGAAAGATTCTCCCTCTTTCACTGACTTATCCATTTTAAAAGCAGCAGGAACACCTGAAAAAATAATGAATGAATAAAATTTGAGGGAAAAAAACAACAAAAATTGCAATAATTGTGCAAATTGCAAATCCCTTTTATAAAAGAAACTCATTACATTGGAAACACAAGTTCAGTGTGAATGGGCCCTTAGCACCGAAAAATCATTTGCACAAATCTATTTATATTTGCTTTCATAAGAGACTCTTTTCAGATGCAAGAATAATGGGGGAGGAGAATTGAAATTAATCATAAGTCCTTTTTTTCTATGCTGGTTGAAAAAAAAAGTTTGCCAAAACAATTATGATAAGTACTAAGCCCAAAAGGTCTTTCAACAAATGTAGATTTGCATATCTGCGCACCCTGTTACCGCAGATAGATACATCATTTGCGTATCCTGGTGACACGTCATTTGGTGACCTTCAGCTGCTGACACCCAATTGCAGGAAAACAACATTAAACTGGCCTTCTTTCTCAAAGATCAACATATCCATGAAAATAAAGATTTTGAAATTGCTTTGGCCAAAAAAGCTAGATCAAAACTGTTTTAAATCCTGAATCAATATTGGAGTTGCTTTTTAGGCAAGGCAAGGCAAGTTTATTTATATAGCACATTTCATACACAATGGCAATTCAAAGTGCTTTACATAAACAAGAATAAAAAAAACAAGTAAAATAAAAATAAAAACAAATAATAAAAATGCATAAAAACAAAACAAAACATAAAAACAGGATAGTGCAATCTGTTGGACGCAGCACAGTGCTCATTCAGTAAAGGCACAGCTAAACAGATGTGTTTTCAGTCTTGATTTGAATGTGCCTAATGTTGGAGCACATCTGATCATTTCTGGAAGCTGATTCCAGCAGCGAGGGGCATAGTGGCTAAAAGCCGATTCACCCTGCTTTGACTGAACTCTTGGAACTTCTAGTTTAAATGATCCTAATGATCTGAGTGATCTGTTAGGTTTGTATTCAGTGAGCATATCTGTAATGTATTTAGGTCCTAGGCCATTTAGTGATTTATAGACCAGTAATAATACTTTAAAATCTACACTGGCTGCCAGTTACATTCAGAATAAAGACCTGAGGACAGGTGTGATGTGCTCTGATTTTCTGGTTCTGGTTAGAATTCTGGCTGCAGCGTTCTGGATGAGCTGCAACTGTCTTACTGTCTTTTTAGGAAGACCAGTGAGGAGTCCATTACAGTAATCCACCCTGCTGCTGATAAAAGCATGAACAAGTTTTTCTAAATCTTCACTAGAAACAAAGCATCTGATTCTGATTTTAGGGAAATATGAAGTTCAAAATCAGCAAAAAAAAAAAAAAAATCAGTTCAAAAAATATTTTAATTTTGGTTCTTGCTAATTTAATTTTGGTTCTCTTCCTCCACAGCCAGAACTTTGTAATGTGTACAGAATGTGGTTTTGCATTGTCATGTTAAAATATCCATGGGCCTCCCTGGAAAAGAAGGCAGCATATTGTGCTCCAAAATCTCTGTGTACTTTTTAGCAATAATGGTGCCATCACAGAAGTACAAGTTACCACTGACACAACCCCATACCCTGACAGACCCTGGCATTTGGACTTGTTGCTGGTAACAATCTGGATGATCCTGTTCTTTGGTCCACAGTGCAAAGCGTCCATTTCTTCCCAAAAATAATTGCAATACTAATAATGCATTTTATCTGATCACAGTACATGTTTCCACTGTGGAATGGTCCATCCCGGATGCCTCCAAGCCCATGGGTCAAGGCACTTCGCCGAGTCGACAGTACTTCTGGACACTGTTAACAAAGGGCTTCCTTTTGGCACATAAGAGTTTTATTTGGAATTTGTTGATGTAACCGTATTGTGGTACTTGTCAAAGGTTTGCCAAGGTAGTCATGAGCTCATGTGGTGATATCCCTTATAGATGAACAAGGATTCTTGATGCAGTGCCGCCTGAAGGATCGGAAATCACATTTGTTCAGCTTAGGCTTCCACTCTTGTCGTTTACACACTGAAATTCCTCCAAATAGAATCTTTTAATGATGCTAGGCACTGTTTAGGTAAAATATCCAAATGTTTTTCTATCTAAACAATATTGTTTTTAAACATTTTAGTAATTTTCTCTCCTATTTGTTGGCAAACTGTTGATCCTCAGCCCATCTTTGCTCCTAAAAAACTAGATCTTTCTTGAAAATTATTTTGTACCAAATCATAATTGCAATCACCTGTTGACATCACCTGCTTCAAATCACATCATTATTCAATTAATTTACCTGAGTAGCAGCCCTAAATTGTGTAGGGATGGTACACTGCGTCATATGTATACCATCCCTACTATTGCTCCTGTCACAACTTTTTTTTTTTTTTTAAATACGTTGCAGGTCTAAATGACAGGAAATAATGTATATTTACAAATGAAATGATGTTGGCCAGATAAAACATGAAATAATTTGTGTTCATATTGTCTGCATTAAAATGCAAGTTTGTAAATCACTACTTTCTTTTTTATTTGCGTTTTCCATACTGTGCCAACATTTTCTGATGTGGGGTCGTATGTTAGTCACGCGAAGTGTTCCTTTATGAATGGGGTATGTCACTGAAAGCCATCGTAAGATTTAAATGACCATTTTCAATTTCTTAAGGTACCTTTTATAGCATCAATAATGTAATTTTTACCTGTTATTTATTTAATTGAATAAAAAAAAAAAAAAAAAAAGAGTAAATATCAATCTTCAATCTTTCACCTAGCCAGCTATGGGGAAACTGGCAGTAATTAGTATAATTCCTGCATCCCGCTGGCCTGTCAAGCACTACGCTTGCATTAAACAAAGTGTGTGTCTCCATACCAGCCATCAGCAGAGATGAGTTATCCTTGTATGCATGAAATATTGCTCATTATGACAAGTTAGGATGAATCTAAGGGCTTATGCACTTTTGGGGCTCCCAGAGATACTGTCAGGCTCAACCCTCTCCATCCTAGCTCTTCACTTTCATCTGTTTTGATGCCAAAACCCTTACAAATGTCTGACATACAACATCTGAACAGGGGCTGGTGCTGCGGGAACCATAATATAAGCTGCATATTTAAAACTGGTCTGACGAGAAATTAGAAAATAATGCACAACTGAGGTGTCATCACCTTCCATCTCCACCTCAGTAATAATTATAAATATATGAATTATTATAATTTGCTGACCCATTGATAATTATTCCTTACATAACATGCATTTAAACTTGTTAAAGACTCACCATGGATAGAAACGCTGAAGGTCTTTTCACTGATGCTGTTGCTGCTGTAGAACTTCAGCTGATAGTCTCCAGCGTCTGTGTTTCTGATGTTCATGATGGTCAGAGATCCAGTCTGATGATCCAGCTTCAGTCTGTCTCTGAAATTCTCATTACCTTCATTACACTGAACATCAGTACAGGTTTTACTGGGATCTCCATTAATTTGAGCGATGCGGGTGTCTTTGAAATACCATCTAATTCTGTCCTGCTGGGTTTTTTCAACACCGGTGTCTAGGTTTACTGACTGCCCCTCTTTTGCCAAAATAGTTTCTGCAGCAGAGTCACCTGAAAAAAATATGAACAGATTTTCAGATGAGCAAATTACAAAGACTGTGGATTTAAAAAAAAAAAAAAACACTAAAGTGATAGTTCACCAAAAATAAAACAAATTCTGACTATTTACTCAGCCTCAAGCGGTTCCAAACCTTTATAAGTTTCTTTCTTCTGTTGAACACTAAATAAGATATTTTGAAGTAAGCTGTCTTCCATAGTACTCCATAATTGGCTAAACAAATACAATGGAACTCAATGGTTATACATTTCCAGCGTTTAGGAAAATATCTCCTTTTGGGTTCAACAGTGGAATGAAACTAATAAAGGTTTGGAACCACTTGAGGCTGAGTATATAGCCAGAAAATGTTTCATTTTTTGGTGAACTATCACTTTAATTTTGTTTTATTTTTAACCCTCAGTCTCCATAAAATGGTAAATTTACAATGGCACATTTAAATATCTTAAAATATGATGCTTTGCTAATTTTAGAAGTCACTTGACCAAAGCATGTACAATAACAGGACCTCATAACGTTGGAGTTGCTCCCATATTTATTATGGTAATTTGACCATAATAAATATAGGTGCAATTTTAACGTTATGGATGTGACATTTGCAGTATAATCTCAAAACATAAATTCACAGAGAACGTCTATGTTAACATTATATTAAAAATCTGTTTATATTTTCCAAAACAACTGACCACAGAGTTATGGGAGCAGAAAATTTTCAATCTGTAAAAAATCTTTTATATTTTAAACGATAAATAAACATGCGTTATGGATGTGAGAAAACGTCTGTGAGTTTACAGTATACAACATACTTTGTTTAATTCTGTGAATTAAACTGAACAACCCTAAAAAAAACATGCTAATCAAAAGGATATGAGTTGGCTCACGGTAGAACAAAAATTATTGAGTTGATTTATTTAACATTTTGGCATTTATGAGGAAATACTTTGTTATGGATGTGACATCTCTGCATTATGGATGTGACAGATGTAAAATTGCCACTTGTGTGAACTTGGTATATGAAATATAATTGTTTCAAAACACTGACAGAGACATTTTTGATTATTTTTACAGTACTGTAAAATTTAAGCCTACTCCAAAAAACTTCGCAATTTTAGTCAAAACCTAATTTTTTTCATGGCAAAGTTGATATTTGCAAGGAAATTGCTCATAGGCCTATATTTTGTCATTCATAATTTGAAATTGCTGCCTTCTGTCCCTGTGTCCTGTCAAAAAACGTTTTTTCATTCATATTTCAAAATGCTGTCCTTGAAGTTGGCATAAACCCAACTAGGCCATAAGCTTGAGCTCTGAGTTCCCACCATAAGGGTCAATATGTAGAGGAAATACTCACTATATTTAGTATGTTACACTTTGTTAAAGGAATAGTTTACCAAAAATAAAATATTCTATCAGCTTTCCTCAAAATAAGATTTTTTGAAAAATGCTGGTAGGATTAAAACCACACGAGGGAGAGTAAATGATGACATTTTTTGGAGGGGTGAACTATCCCTTTAATTTATACACCATACACCACTGAAACAACTTAAGAAAGCTGACTCTAAACCATGGATTTACAGGCTAAAATCCCATTGAATACCCATATATTATTATCTATTATCTTACTATAATAGTGAATTATTTCGAATTTGCAAACAGTAAAGTAGGGGAGCGCGGGGCACAAAGTAACAAGGGGTAAAAATGTAGCACAGAGTTTTAAGGTATTTCCTTAGGGTTAACAATGGCATGCTTGTGAGATTTTCACCACAGTCTTCCTGCCAATTATTGAACAAGTTTGGCGAAATTTTTTAATTGAAAATATTTTTTATAGACAAAAAAATATTTTATTGCTAATAATGCAAATGCATTGTATAATAACGCATAATAATGCAAATTAATACAAATGTGTTTATCCAATAAATAAATAAACATACTGCGCTATGTAGAAAAAAAATTATTTAGAACTTTATAAAGTACTAAATACAGTAATTTCTTCAAGTAAACTGGATTTAAATTAATTGTGTAAAATCTGCCGTGGTAAGCATGATCATACAACCAGCGCTTATTTATAGGAAAGGCTTGTGTGTTGTTGGTAAAAAACAAATGGTTTGTCCAAACAAACCCCATTACTTTGTCCATTATTTGGCCAAAATCAAAAACTTTTGTTACTTCGTGCCCTGCTCTCTTCTGTATTTTAAGGTAGCCTAAATTTGTTCTGAACACATGTAGCCTTTTTTAGTCTGGAGGCACATATCGATTCACGAACCTTTACTCGAAACTTCATATAAACAAGTCCAAAATTAGCTTTAATTTATAGTGGAATTTAAACAGCATTTATAATTATCTTATTAATGTCTGTCGAATATAAAGGAAACAAATGTGGCACAAAATGGAGAGCGGCAAATTACTTCCTCATCTTATCCACAATGACAAGAATATTAAAATGTCTTACCGTGGCAGGGTAAAATGAACCGTATTGACAGTAGTATCAAAAAAAGCGACGACATCGTTTGATTTTTATCTACAGGAAACCTCAAATGTGTAATTTTGTTGAAAAAAGGGGGTCTCCGCATCAGCATCAGAAGCAAAAGTAAAAGAGATTTAGCCACACCACACGCCGACGCAAACGGAAGTGAAGCATACTTGAACAAACGAAACAGAGAGCGCCACAGTGTTATTATTTGAAACTTAGTTAACATTAGCTATAAAAATAAATAAACTAAATAAGCATAAAACCCTTTTGTGTTTGTAAAAGTTATTTTTATGCACATTTACCGAGTTTTTCTGACTTTGCACTCGATTTTTTTTTTTGCATTTTGCGAAGCATTTGGTTCAAATCTCCATTCACTAAACACTGTAAATTGTTTACAGAGCTTTCCCCTACTGTGTGCTGCATTTCTATCGTATATAGTTTAGTATTTATAATAGTAAAAAAATGTATCTGGTATGTTTTATTTTACAGAGACACTTTTTCTTAGTGTTGAAAAAAGGTCTTGCAAAGATGTTTAATTATCATTATTATCATCAGCATTTTATAAATATATAGGCTACATAGTGCATTCCAGTTAGATACACAGTGTTTGACAGCTAATATTAAGTTAAAGTTTTTACTTTTTTGTGCCTCCGTTACATTGTATCCTATTCTAACCAACTTTAAATTGATCAAGAAATGTATGCATGAAACAATATACAAAACTTTCAAGAGGTTCTTTCAAGTAGAGAATAAGTTACAAATAGCAGCAATGTGTCTCAAATACAGACACACTTCTCACTATATAGGGCAAATATCGCAAATATAATAAGTGAAATGGTTCTACAGTAGAAAAGCTTTTTCTGTACAGCAGATGAACATGACAAAGCCTTCAAAAATCAGCTGAAAAATCTAAGAGCACTTTATAATTTGCATTGTGTTTGACATGGAGTTATTTTTGCATGGATATATATATACTCACCGGCCACTTTATTAGGTACACCTTACTAGTATCGGGTTGTGCCCCCTTTGCCATTAGAACTGCCTTAACCCTTCATGTCATATTCAACAAGGTACTGGAAATATTCCTCAGAGATTTTGCTCCATATTGACATGATAACATTGCATAGTTTCTGCAGATTTGTCGGCTGCACATCCATGATGCGAATCTCCCTTTCCATCACATCCCAAAGGTGCTGTGTTGGATTGAGATCTGGTGACTGTGGAGGCCATTTGAGTACAGTGAACTCGTTGTCAAGTTCAAGAAACCAGTCTGAGATGATTCACGCTTTATGACATGCCGCATTATTCTGCTGGAAGTAGCCATCAGAAGATGGGTACACTGTGCTCATAAAGGGATGGACATGGTCAGCAACAATAGGTAGGCTGTGACGTTGACACGAGGGTCAGTTGGTACTAATGGGCACAAAGCATGCCAAGAAAAAATCTCCCTCACCCAGGGCGGGAGCAAGCTGAATTGCCGCTCTAGGCAAAGGACTATCATGCCACGCTCAACCTGAAAGTGGGATGAAAGTGAGAACCGGGGGGCGTGTTTGCGTGTTGATGCCAAGTTCTGACCCTACCATCTGAATGTCGCAGCAGAAGTTGAGACTCATCAGAGCAAGCAACGTTTTTCCAATCTTCTATTGTCCAATTTTGGTGAGCCTGTGCCAATTGCAGCCTTAGTTTCCTGTTCTTAGCTAACAGGAGTGGCACCCGGTGTGGTCTTCTGCTGCTGTAGCTCATCTGCCTCAAGGTTGGACGTGTTGTGTGTTCAGAGATGTTCAGAGATATAAATCCAGTAGCAGTTTTTGAAATACTCAGTTTAAAATGCTTGGTTTGAACTGCATCAGATCGTCTTGACCATGTCTGCATGCCTAAATGCATTGAGTTGCTTCCATGTGATTGGCTGATTAGAAATTTGCATTAACAAGCAAATGGACAGGTGTACTTAATAAAGTGGCCGGTGTGTGTGTGTGTGTGTGTGTGTGTGTGTATAACCTACACATTTGTGTGCAAAAATTCTAAAGAAAGTCAGACCACAGGCAGTTTCAGTTTGACTACTGAACTGATACTGCTGTCGGGTCCTCACTGATAGTGCCAGATAGTGAAAACGTCAACTTTTTGGTTTGGACAAACTCAACCAGTGATAATTAAAATATTATAACCAATCTACATGCAATAGGCTCTGTTAAAAGCTAATCCATTTAGCAAATTTAGCACAAGCAATAAGTAATCAAAAACTAAATGTAGAATATGTTTTTAAACCATTAAATTTCAAACATGTAAGACAAGAAAAAAAAAAAAAACATTTCCACACAATAGAACCATATGTACATTACATATCAAATAATTTTAAGCAGCAAGTTGAAAAAGTGTGAGTGTGAACTATAAGGAGGGTCAAACTTTTGTTGTGGGAGGATTCAGATTCACACGTCAGATGATTAACAGTGGGTTTCTGGTAGAGAAGCAGTAGTTCAGAGAAAGATGTTTCACATGTTTGTTTTGTTCTGCTTGTGCTGGAGGCGTCTGTCGGGTAAGTTATAAAAGCATACATTACTTATTTCTGGATCCTTTTGGCAGAGCAATTAGCCACTGCTGGTATTCAGATGACACTATGTTCTTGAGATATAACTGTAAGATCTGTTTTCATCTGAGATCTTTATATGAATTGATGAGTTGCAGGACTAGAAAAACCATTACTGTATTTTAAAACGCTTATCATTTTACATGACCATGCTTTATTACTATTCTGAAATTCACATGGTATTTTCAGGAGAGAATTTAAATTAATTTAGGATGTCTGTCAGATCTTGATATGACTTTCATAGATATATAAAAATAACATTACCAATTCTCACTATTAACTAGTTATTACCTAACTAGCAAGATATTAACTGTTTATTAGTAAGTGCATATTGTGTATGATCTTATTCTACATCCCAAATTCTGATCCCCAAACCCAACTACTAACTGAATAACTACTAAAAAGCAGCAAATTAAGAGTTTATTGAAGCAAACATCTTAATTAATGGTTTATTTATAGCAGGAGTTGTACCTTAAAAGAAAGTGACCAAAACAATGAGAGAGTTAAACATTCAGGACATACTTGTGTAAGTTACTGTACTTTTTTAACTAAACTCCTTAAAACCCAGCATAAAGACTACAATATTCAACATATTGGAAATATGTTCTTCAGCCTGCATTTTTTGTTAAACTGCAAAAATGTTTTTTCAACCTACATTTGACAGCAGATATGCAAAATGAATGCTATGGGGTAGCATGACGCTAAAAACGGTTTCTTTTTATGCTGATGATATTTACAGGGATATAATGTCAACGTGTTAGGCTCAACACCAAATAAATACCACAAAACATCTCAACGCTGTCTATGATTTGAGGCAGAATATATCTGCCTCACCTACAGTTGAAGTCAGAATTATTAGCCATGATGGCAGTAAATAATATTAGACTAGATATTTTTCAAGACACTTCTGTACAGCTTAAAGTGACATTTAAAGGCTTAACTAGGTTAATTAGGTTAACTAGGCAGATTAGGGTTATTAGGCAAGTTATTGTATAATGATGGTTTGTTCTGTGGACTATCGAAAAAAAATATAGCTAAAAGGGGCTAATAGTTTTGACCTTAAAACGGTTTGTAAAAAAAATAAAAACAGATTTTATTCTTTTCACAATGAAACAAGTAGGACTTTCTCCAGAAGAAAAAATATTATCAGACATACTGTGAAAATGTCTTCTGCTACCCTGACACTCAGCTGCAGATGTGAATAAATAGCGGAAGAAAGTAGTTCCTAATACAAAAGGACTCGAAGCTGTGTGATATGGCTGTATATCGGCACTGCTCGGCCTGCAGGCTTGAGCCAACGACTACCTCCTAGTAGTAATTTATAGTGCATTATCAGTCCCTATATAGTGTATTATCAGTTGGAAATGGCACAGAAAAAATTGCATGGGATTTCAATTGGTAACAATTTTTGAAAGGTTTTGACCTGCTGATAATTATTATTAAAAAGACCTCCAACTGTATATATTTCCATATGGATATCTTTTTTGCACTGTAAAAAATCATTATGATGTCTGGTGAACAAGCTTCCACAAAAGAGGTAAACCAATGTAAAATCAAGGTGTACAGGGTACTTTTCTCTTATGTCTGCTGCTGGAAAAAGCTATTGGTTTAGGGAACAATTTATATCAGTGGTTTACTACGTGATCTGTACGATAAGCATCACCATCTTGAAGATTTATGCAAGAAGGAAGTGTATGTAAAACATACAACATAAATAATAATCTATGAAATTTGATTCTATTCTCTAGGTGTGTTTGGTGAGTCTGTGTCAGTGACAGAGGGAGATTCTGTCACTTTAAAGACTGGTCTTGCTGAAATACATGAAGATGTTGATATAGTGTGGAAATATGGAGCTGAAAAGTCTCTTATACCCCAAATCAGTAGATCTGGTGGAATTGTTTCCACATATGATTGTCCTGATGGGAGATTCAGAGACAGACTGAAGCTGGACAATCAGACTGGATCTCTGACCATCATTAACATCAGATTTGACCATGCTGGAGTTTATAAACTAGATATAAATGAAATAAAACTGACATCAAAAACATTCAGATTGTCTGTTCATGGTGAGTAGAGGCCATTTGTGCTGGCCCTTCAAATATTTTTATCCTAGTATTTATAAACTTAAATGTTTCATAATTTTACAATTTGAGATTACAGTGTAAACACATGGACTGTTTATTAAATTTGTTCTCATTTCTCTACCTTGTCTGATGTTTTCAGCTCGTCTGCCTGTTCCGGTCCTCATCTTCAACTCTTCTCAGTGTTCCTCATCCTCTCAGTATAATTGTTCAGTGTTGTGTTCAGTGGTGAATGTGAGTGCTGTGAGTCTCTCCTGGTACAAAGGAAACAGTGTATTGTCCAGCATCAGTGTGTCGGATCTCAGTATCAGTCTCTCTCTACCTCTGGAGGTGGAATATCAGGATAGAAACACCTACAGCTGTGTGATCAACAACACCATCAGCAACCAGACCACACATCTGGACATCACTCAGCTCTGTCAACCATGTTTGGGTACAGTAGTGATTACTTTCTGCAGCAATTTCAGTATTTTAATGAATCATACACTTACATCAATGATTACCTTTCGCAGATCCTCCAGAATCTTCAAATCTGATAGTATTTGTCTCTTCTTCCGCTGCTGTGGCACTTCTGTTGATTGTTTTTGGAGTCGTGATCTTCCGGATCTGCAGGAAACAAAGAAAATCTGTTCAGGGAGGTAGGTGTAACCTGTTGATTTTTAGCATCATTTAAAACATTCATTCATTTTCTCTTCGGCTTTGTCCTTTTGTTAATTTGGGGTCGCCACAGTGTAATGAACCGCCAACTTATCCAGCATATGTTTTACGCAGCGGATGCCCTTCCAGCTGCAACACATCTCTGGGAAATAATTTAAAACAAATTGTACTTTAAATATATACTCCATAGTAATCAATATTTGAAGTGAATCAAAAAAGATTTTCAAAGTTGTCCTAAGACAAAAATTGGTGATGTTAAATAGCTTTAACAATTGACTAAAGGTTTTAAACCACTTTAAATGTTGGCCACTGTACACCAGCTGTTTATGACAGATTTAATTTTTCTGTCTTGGTAACGTCAAGTTGTCTTGTCAAAGACAAAAACAGCTTGTGATGTATTTGTTTACGCCAAGTTGTCACAACAATCAATGTCATCTTTGCATTTAAAATAACGTAACTGAGCAAATAACACTCAATACATGTTGTCACAGGCCCACATGGAATCTGCGCATGCAGAATTCCACAGATTTCCACAGATTTTTAGGCCATTAATTCTTTTTATTTACTCAAGTAATTGTGTGTAAATTTTTATTTATTCAGTATTTTTAATTATTTACAGTAATATTATTGGCTAATGTGAAAATGTTCATCTGATTTATTTACAATGCAGTTTGTACAGTAACAATTTCTGTCTTGTAGTAGATCTACCAAATAAGGTGAATCGAATTGGATTTGCATTTTAAACATTAAATAAAAGTTAAAAAGATAATATATATATATATATATATATATATATATATATATATATATATATATATATATATATATATAAAAACTATTATGGTTTTAGTTATTATACTCCCAAAATAATTCTGCAGAAATCTGCAGATTTTTACCAAAATTCTGCGCAGAAATAGCAAAAAATGTCTGCAGATTTCGTCTGGCCCTAGTCATAAGCCATCGTTGGCATCTCATTCACATTAATCACGGTAATGTCATGATTATAAAGGTTTCATGACAGTCTTATGAACAAATGTAAAGTGTTACCCAATATTAGTAAATCTGCTATGATGAAATGCATCATGAATAACAGACTGAGCAATGATAGTTATGCCGTTTTAACAAACATGATATTTTTGTTGTGCAGAAGACATCACTTACATTGAGACAGTGTTCCACAAAAGGAAAGCACAGACGTCGGTAAGATCATTTATTCCGTATTCATGCTGTTTTTGATTTATTTCAGTGGCTAGTCAAAATTTAGATACTGTATTGACGTTATTCTGTGATGAGGTGTGCTCGTTTTTGAGATTCTTTTAGAACTTCCAACCCAGTTGCCTGTGGGAGAAATGACTAGAGTTCTAAACAAACAAACTGCTCGCTCTACAATAAAAAAGTACATAAAAAGTACATTAATATAATAAGAAAATGCCCGTTTGCAACATCAAGCAGCAGAACTAGCTGTTTTTAATGTCAAGAAATCAATAGAAGTGAATGAGACCTCAGGCAAAAAAGATCACAATGCTGTTGGACTTTTCCTAGTCCTCCTAGGTTAAGACATCAGCCAGTAGCTTTAAATATGTTTACTCAATTAGATGAATAAAGCATTACAGAGGTCCGGGTGTCAGAGAACAGCAATTCTTTGTCAGCTAGGCATGTAATGACCTGAGTGGGGATCGAACCCGGGTCTACGGTGTGGTTAGCAGTAGTCAGCAGTCAGCTAAGTCAGCAACTGGCAGCACAAGAGCAGAGGAGGAACAAAGTTAGTCCACAACGTATGAATTTAAATAAATATATCTATAAAAAATATATATATATATATATATATATATATATATATATATATATATATATATATATATATATATATATATATACACATATATAAATATATCTATATATAAAAAATATATATACACACATATATAAATAAATATATACACATATATAAATATATATATAAATATACACATATATATATAAATAAATATATAAATAAATATATAAATAAATATATACACACACATATATAAATATACACATATATATATAAATAAATATATAAATAAATATATAAATAAATATATAAACACACACACACACACACACACACACACACACACACACACCCTCTACCACCCATATTTATCGTTGTCTCTATTCAGGCACTACAGTACGAACGATCCTCCATCCAGATCAGTTCAATCGTCAGTTGTTAGGCAGAACACGCCAATCTGCACAGAAAAAGTTACACATACACATATAGCCTGCAAGAGAGTGAGCCTTCGCCCCTCCCATCTGTGAATGTTCCTGTAAACGGGCACACTCTGAAAATAGAGTTGTAACATTTTGATGATAATAAGTACAGAGGAGTTTACTTCTGGGTTATCAGACACACAAAGCCACAGCTGTTATGGAGCAAATGCAATATGAGGTTAAGCACATAAGGTTATATGAGGATAAACACATAAGCGTAAGTTAATGTAATTAGTTAAAAACAGAATTAAACTATTAATGCGAGGATTAGAATGCATAGGATGAAGTCAAATTCATCAAAAATTCCTTCACTGCACCTGATCATACATAAAGAATAGGGTCAATATGGTATTTGTTTTTAGTTATCCATCACTCACACACTTGCTTCACATTGCATGAAAATCAAAATAGCAAGATAATAAAAAAGTTTCAATCATTTTCATTGTTGTAGAAAAAACTAAATATGATGACAAAAGCTGAAGTTCTGGACAGAAAAGGTAGAAATATGAGGGAAACACACATCAGTTTGATTAAAATATAGATTTTCTTTTTAAAATATGTTTAAATATGAGAAACAAACTATCCTGCTACTAGGATTTTGTAAGATACAGATTGGCAAAACATGCAGTTTTAGTTTGGATACATACAGTACAACATACATTTAATAGCAGACTTAGGGAAAGGGGTCTGGATGCAGACCTGATGCAGTGCAATCTGAGCTGCATCCAATGCTTTTTAATGCGCTCACCTAACCCCACAGTGATGTCACTACCTCCACTGAGCGTATAGTGTCTGACGTTGCATCGCTGAGAGATGCAGTCTCAGCTTGCATCATCAAGGCTGCATCCAGATACTATTGAAAGGGGGTAATTATTAATTAATTAATCGTTAAAACAACAATTAATGTGAAAAAAAGATATATGAGTAAACTAAAATTGATTCGAATGCATTATTTTACAAGGTGGATTTGTAATACAATGTTGCTGCTATTAATTTAATGCTGGTGAAATTGTATAATATTTTAAACAAATCCTGAACAAACAAGTCTTCTATTGTGTGTGTGTGTGTGTGTGTGTGTGTGTGTGTGTGTTTATTTCCACAGAAAATGAAAGCAGAACAAAGTGTAGTAGAAGGCAGAGTGGTCTACGCACCTCTCGCCATGAACAAAGGATTAACTGTTTTCTGAACAGCTTTATCTACCAGTTGCTTCATCTGGTCTGTGGTTGACTTTAGAGACCAAATCACCACATGCAGCAAACAGAACTCAGCACAAATTATAAAAAAATAAATATATAAATAAATGAGAGGGAGGCGCAGTGGCGCAGTAGGTAGTGCTGTCGCTTCAAAGTAAGAAGGTTGCTGGTTCGAGTCTCAGATGGGTCAGTTGGCATTTCTATGTGGCGTTTGCATGTTCTCCTCGTGCTTCGGTTTCCCCCACAAGTCCAAAGACATGCGGTTCAGGTGAATTGGGTTGGCTAAAATTATCCTTGGTGTATGTGTGTGAATGATAGTGTATGAGTGTTTCCCACTGATGGGTTGCAGCTGGACGGGCATCCACTGTGTAAAACATACTGGATAAGTTGGCGGTTCATTCCGCTGTTGCGACCCTAGATTAATAAAGGGGCTAAACTGAAACGACCATGAATGAATGAATACATAAATTAAGTTTAATATTAAACTAATTTCGTGAGGAGCACGTGCTCATGATTGACCCAGCTGGCCCACATTAAATAATCACGATCCTCCAATCAAAGGATCTCAAGTCACTATATATTTATCCTCATTTCCTTCCTACAACTATCCTCATCTGGAAGAGTCCCCCTCCTCCCCTTCTTCCACCTTTTATCCAGAATGTGCAGCACGTGGCCCAGTGACTAGCACTGTTGCCTCATAGCAAGAAGCCAAAGGCGTCGGGTCCTCGCTGGGCAATATGGTATTTCTGTATAGAGTTTGCATGTTCTCCCCGTGTCCAAGTGGGATTCAGCTAAACCTCCTCCAACAGAACAAGCTGTAGATTTTGAGCCACAACCTGTAAGTAAACACTCTGCATTCTCATCTTTAAAAACACAGCAAGCTAATTAGTTAACCAATATGCAGTAAGCAGCTACTTAGGACCTCAGGAAATTTGTGGGGCTCCGATAAAAACCTAGAATTATAAATTATACCCATAACATCATTTTGTATCTTATTTTGTATGGTGAGGGCCTAACTAATAAAATGTTTACGTAATTATAACATCTACGCAAATCTGTCTTACACCCACAATCATGGACTGATTAAGTCAGGTAAAGATTCAGTTTTAAAAACAATGTATTATTTTCGATTTATAATTTTTTTTAGTTGTGAATTCATTTTAAGAAAACAAATCTCTTAAAGTGCAGAGATTTCATTAAGACAAAACAGGTAAAAGTGGATTCAGTGATATGAGAAAAAAACAGCAACGGCAAAATAAATAAATGAGTAATAACTATAGACCCACATGGACTCTGCTTGCGCAGAAATCCGCAGTTTATTAGCTCATCATTCTGATTCTGTTTATTTACTTGTGTAAATGTGTGTAAACTTATATTTATCCAGTTTTTAAATTAATTTCAGTAATATTATTGACTAATAAATGTTAATATGATTTATTTACAATACAGTTTGTAAAGTTAAATGTTCTGTCTTTTAGTAGATCTATTATATGAGAAACTTGATTTGTTTACCAAATAAAGTGGATCTAATTGGATTTGCATTGTGAACATTAAATAAAATTTCAAAATATATCATTTATTATTTCATATTTACATTTACATTTAGTCATATTACGTTTTTACTTATGAAACACCCAAAAATGCAGATTTTGTCTGACCCTAGTAATAACTACAAAGGGTGCATTTTAGGACTGTTAGGCTTCATGGCTGGAACTGCTTATGGCCCCCAAATCACCAAATCCGCCCCTGCATATATTGGTGTGATTTATTTATTTTTTTTTGTCAGACTAGCATATTTGCACAGCATGCATCTATTCTTAAAGGTTTGTGTGAGTGAACAGGAATGTATGCGTATGTCTTGATGTGTGAAATGCGTGTGGTTAAAACCTTTTTTTCCATTCCAGCCCAATATGACGCTAGTGGTTTGACTTACAGGAAACATCTCTAATAGTAAATAATTGAACCCGTAAACCTTGTATTTTAACAACAAAGCAGACTGTAAATACGAAAATTAACACTTTGTGCGGATGTGCATCCTGACCTTTATCTTGCTCACTTTCAGAAGTCATTTTTAGACCCTGAGTGAGTAGCAGAGGGCGGAAATATACTTTATCTCATACCCTTGTAAAAAAAAAAAAAAAAAAAACACCCTTGTAGTGTCAGACATCAGTTTTGTGGCAGCGTTGACATCAAAACCCCCTTCTGCCCCTGTTTTTTATAATCACTTGTTTTCCAATTAGTCAAATGAGGACAAAGGTCATAGCTTTACACTCTAAAAAAACAATGAGTTGTCACAACCTAAATTTGGTCACATATTGACAAACAGCTATTGGGTTAAAAAGCCATAGCTTAGTTTACAGGTGCCCTACTATATAATGAAAATCTGGCAAAATCAAGGCATAGAATAATAAAAGATCAGTAGATGGAAATGGACATACGGTGACCAATCAGAAGACAAAACAAACCATGACGAGACTCCATGCCCTCTGCATTACATGGATTATAGGCTCTGAATGACCATTTTGATTACTTTTCCATTATTTGCCCAGCCCTACCACAGACTCTATTAAAAAAATGATTCCATCAACAAGTTCTGGATTGTCATAACCCAAATTGGGTCAAATATGAACCCAGCAATTGGATTAAAAAGTTGAAGTGTAATTGAAATAAAAAGTAATAATAATTAAGGCAACATTGGGAATCCATATTTACCCAACACTGGGTTACAACAACTCATAAACACATACATACACTGCACAGATACACACACAGAAATGAACTGTGATTAAAACATCATCAGGTTTGGTTTACCGCAGACTCTATTAAAAAAATGATGCCAGCAAAAATGCTGGGATGTCATAATAAGCCAATGTTTGGTCAAATATGAACAAACCCAGACATTTG